CTTTGTGGAATTGGGCTTTAGTGCATGTAATGGATAGACTGTCAAGAAGAGCTTGTTCAGGTTGATGTAGAAATTCACCAGAAATTCATCTGGAGACAGACCAGGAGTGAACATCTTTGTGAGGTTGCTTGATGCAATTTATAGTAGTGTCAAAGTCGCAGGTGTGTTGAGCAGTTTTAGTGCTCTTGTCAACTGTAACCTCACTGCATCCATCAGCTTGATGAGCTCACACCCCATCTTGAACTGATAATTGGCATATCTGTTGATGAATACTGTGTAAACTCATGTATACGTCTAGAAATTTTAGTCAAAAAAGTGACCCCAAACACCTGAGTTGACTTATTCACCAGTACTGTACTTTAACTTTTGTATATAAAAGGAATCATCCGCTGGTGAAAGACAAGAATGAAATCTGTCCTGGAAGCACTGCCCTTTCATCCAGCCAACCTTCACTGTGAGCACAAACAGTTATGATTGCTGGAATATTGTAAGTTCTTTGGCATGCTTTTCCTTTGCTCCATCCTTTAGATCCTTTGTTACATGCCTCTAAGTTTTACCCTTGACTTATCCACACAGGCCATTTGGCCCCAAAACCTGTTTCAAATTATACATGAGGTTGACTTATAGTTAAGTATATACAGTAGGCAGACTGCTTGGTTGACATGTTCCCTTGCATCCTGAATCTGCTGCAGTTTCTACTGCTTGTCATCCCAGAATGTGAAGTGCAGGAGCTAATTGTTCCTAGGCATTGTCAAGTTAAATAGCTGTCTGGCACACAGCATCTCCCTAAAATATCAGGACTCCTTTCACTTGGTCACCATTTGACCTATCCAGCCTAAAGTTCTCCTGTTTGATGGGTCCTTCTAAGGTAACCCTATCATGGGGTTTTCTTGGCAAGATTTGCTCAGAGAAGGTTTGCCATTGCCTTCTTGCTGAGGCTGAGAGCCTGTTACTTGCCCAAGGTCACTCAGTAGGCCTTCTGGAAGCTTCTAGCTATTTACAGCATGTTTTCTGAAAACCAAAATACTTTGCAGTGTTGCAGCCAGCCAGCTGTGCTGCCTCCTTGGCTCAAAAGCTTTCTGTTATCTTAAAGGCTTAAATATTAACATATTAATCTCTCTCATACACTATGCAGCTGTACTATAAAAAGACAAATAAAAATGCATTAGTTGTAATCAATTGTTTTCCTCTGACAAACTTTAGGGTCAAACCAGACATGATGTTATTTGCATGATTGTGATTAACATGTCTAGTGATTTTTTTTTAAAAAAAAATAGCATCTGGAGGGTTTGGGGAATCAAGATTTGACATTAGGTTTTTTAAACCTTTTCTTTAGAGGCTAGAAACCAGGACATGGGCCAATGGATTCAAAGAACAGGAAAGGAGATGCCACCTCAACACTGGGAAGAACTTCCTGACAGTAAGAGCTGTTGGACAATGGAACATGCTGCCTTTGAGAGTGGTGGAGTCTTTTTTTCTTTTTTGGAGATTTTTAAACACAGGCTGGATGACCATCTGTCAGGAGTGCTTTGACTGTGATTCCTGCATGGCAAAGTGTTGGATTGGATGGACCTTGTGGTCTCTTCTTGCTCTATGATTCCAGTGCCATGCTCTTGTTGAAATTCTCTTTTGCATGTACATCATAGTCCCAATCTTGTTGGGGAGCATAACTGTTATTCACATTTGGAATCACTCAGATCCCATTTCTGTTTATAAGTGCCTACTGAAGTAAATACCATAAAGGCACCAGATCCCATCTGATCTCAGAAGCTAAACAGGGTCAGCCCTGGTTAGTACTTGGATAGGAAACTGCCAATGAAGACCCGGTGCTGTAGGCTCTGTTTCAGAGGAAAATAACTGGCAAAACTACACTGAGTATCCCTTGCCTAAGAAAACCCTATTAACATTAAGTTGGCAGGTGACATGAAGGCACATACATACACGCTGGAGTAGAATGGTGAGTCAATGTATAGGATAGAGTTGGGTAAAGTACCATCCATCAGTTTTATGCAGCCCTCAAGGGGCCTCTGGTGTTCCCCCCAAATTTAGGAGGGATTTTCCCCTCTCCAAATTCCCTTGGGGAGCATTTTGTCATGTTTTTGGCTCTGTGCCATTTTAGGCCCAGGACAGTCACCTACAAAAAAAAAAAA